GAAGTGAAGTCCAGTGTAGCAAGGGCTCTACCTAAAAATGCATACATTAATTCTGCTCATGTTACCAGAATGTGGGGAGTTTGAAAAGGTGACCCCAAGCTGTGTGGGGTCAGAAACAACTCTATGACCACAGACAGGCAGAATGGATCCTGGAGGACAACTGGTGGTCTCCGTCGCTTCACCATCGGTCATCTGCATGCATCCTGCCATGTGTTTAACAGACCCCTTCCTCCCAATGGAGATAAGACCAGTACACAGTGGTCCATAGCTTACTAAAGCCTGCTAGGTAGACATGGAAAATGCAGGTATCATTGCTATCAAAACCCTCCCTACCCAGACTCAGAAACTGAACTGATTCAGTCACCCTCCCTCTGGACTTTGTGTGTGTGACATGGCACATTTCTGTGGTTTAAGCTAAAGGAATGAAGGACTTCTGCAACCCGTAACCACAAACCTCCCGCATTTTATCTGGAGCTGGGTTGGAGCAGATATTGTGTGGGTGGGTTCTGTGTGGCCCCAGGATCTGTTTGACTGGAGGACTTGGGCAGTACCATAAATAAAGAGAATTGGACTTTTCTGGACCTGTCATACAGGAATAGGTTTTCTTGTACATATATTGGGATGATTCCACATCCATCTGCTTGCCATCTTCTCATACTGGTATGATAGGCAGAATAGATGTCACCAAGTGACCCCATCTTATAAGAAAAAAGGGAAAGCTTAGAAGTTCAAGATGTCTTGGACAGATCTGCCATCAGTTTAGGGTTGGATGTGGGGACTTGGCCCAACTCACACTGGCTTAAGCAGTAATAGGAGCTTATACTGGCGCATATAACTGAAAGATTTCGAGGTTGTCATCAGGCATGGCTGAATCCAGGTACATAACAGAGTGGATGGAAGTTGGCTTCTTTCCAACTTTTACTCTGGTTTCCTGGGAGGTGACTGAATTGTCAGGCTCACTTCCCCACGGTGGCAGGGTGGTCATGTAGCTACCACAGTGAGTGAGAGTGCCTCTCCTGCTTGTCCAGGGCAAGTCTCATGGAGATCGCTCATTGTCTTGACTCCATCTGGTGCTGAGCCAGCTCTGTGGTGGCATAAGGAGGCGTGGGGGAGGAGGGACTGGGGCTGATACACCGGTCTACACCCAAGCCTCTGAAACCACTGACTCGAGGCTGGACAGGGCAGGGAGTTCTGCAAAGGAACTTAGGGTGCTGTCACCAAATCAGAAAGAGAAGTGCTAAGCAGGCGATCATAACCAGAGTTGAACAGAAAGCCATGGAAATTTTAAATAAGAAAAAGACAGGATCTGACATTCATCCTGAAATGATAGCTCTGGTTGAATGGAGAGGAGCTGTGAGGAGAGAATGGGGAGGCACTGGGGATCATTGTCAGGAGTCCAGGAGATGACAGTGGCATGACCAAGCTGGGGTCAGTGGAGCAGAGACGGATGGGAAAGAGGCACAAGGCCAGGGCTTGGTGAGAGACCAGGCAGGTGTGGGACAGGTGGAATACAGGCGAACAGCCAGGGTTTTGGCTTAAGCAGCTGAGACAGGGAGCTGAAAGGAGGGGGCAGTTTAGGGGAGGAATGAAAGTTCAGTGTCAGACCAGATACATTTGAGAAGCCTTGAGCTGTCCCTAGAGAGGAGTCCTAGGGGCATTTCTTTGGAGGGTAGAATTCTACTTTTAAGAACTCTTGTCTCGTGCCTATACAATATGAGAAGGATAAATAAGTCTAGTAATGTCTGATTTTCCCATTAAATGCACTAAACCAAAAGAAGTCTACCCTCCTGGAGAGTTGGGAAGGAACAACATGCAAACGTTTGGCAGGGAATGGCCCTTTGAACAACCTGTTCTGCAATCACTCCCTGAAGAGTCAAAAGACTTCTCGAAATCTTTGGGAGCTAGGTGGTCAGGGAGAACGGACGGGGGGCATGCAATGAATATTGGTCAAGCAGACAGGGGCCCAGCCCATGGGAGCTGGAACAGCTGTCAAGAGGAGTGAGGGGCACAGGATGGCATAGAAGGGGTCTGTGCAGACAGCTGCCCAGATTTGTTTGACAGTAGAGGCCCTGGGGCTTCAGAGAAGAAGGAGGCAGTGCAGGATGGGCTTAATCTGGGTTGGGTTCCTGCAGACAGAACAGGAATAGCACATCTGTATTCCAGGCAAAAGGAGGCCTGTTGCCTCTGTGCAAGTGTAGGCTTGTATGCATAGCAACAGGCTCCAAAGAAGCAGGGGGGGTGGGGAGGGGGGCTGTAAAAACTCTTGAAACTAGACCAAGACACTAGGGCCTCCCAGGCAGCCTGAGGCCTTCCAGTGAGGGTTGAGGGTCCCCCAGGCTGCTGCCTCCCCACCGCCTCCCCACCGCTGCAGCGGCCCTCAGCATCGTGGCCTGTAGAGGCTTCTGTATAGAGCCCCTCCACTCAGCCTGTCCCTGCTCTGCAGACAGGGAGCTGGCAGGAAGCATTGTCAATGCCCAGCACTCCCTACCCCATGAGGCGTTAAGAGGGGGCAGAGGCAGCTGGGATAGGCCTGGCCTAGGCTTCACAGGAGTGGGGAGGATCCGTGGGGTTGTCTGAGGGCTGCCCTCTTCACATCTTGGGGAAGAGGGGAGTAGGAGGGGACCACTGGCTCCAACCTGAGTGGACCTGGGTTGGCCCCAGAGTTGGCAGTTGGCAGGCCCCAAGCTAGGGAGCAAGCAAGGGAGTCAGCTTCCCATCCATTAGGCCCGTGGCCCGGGCGGCTAATGACGAGCGGACATTCTGCTCCCAGTCCTGCTACCCACTTAGGCATCGTTAATATTTTACGCCGCATAGCCAGGGGATCAATGTCTCATTTATAGCTCAGCGTTTATGGTAGTCTTTGAAGCTTTCATGGGGAAGGTGCTCAGGGGCACCAGGAGAAACTGAGGCAGAGGAGCAGGGGTGGGGCAGCCTCAGAAGGACCCCTAAGATGGCCTCCTTAGTTTGTTGCGTTCTCTAGCCCACCTACCTAGTTACATCTGCCCCCTGCATACCTGGGCACACCTGCTCCAGGAATACATCAGAGCCCCTGACATGTGCCAGTCTTGTCTTTTCAATCCTTTACAAGCCCCTGGTGAGGCAGCATTAACATCCCCATTTTAGGGTTGAGGAAACTGAGGTTTAGGGAGGTTTATACTACTGCACTTTAAGCCAGGCCATTCCTGGGGGATTGGTGGTAATTAGCTGGGACACATGCTAGATTTAGCTCAGCACTTCAGTGTGTAAATTAGATTACATGGCCCTTTAACCTTCCTAGACTCTTTAGCAGCTCCTGTGTTCCAACAGAGTCCTGCTCTCTGGTCAATCAATGGCATCTCTGCTAGAACTGTTGCTTTTGGTCAGTGGAGACTCACCGCATGCCCACTTAAATGGAATTGAGAGCTGTGCATTTACAGTTCTATAAAAATATCTCCAATAACTCAGACTTTTAACCAAGTGTGTTATAGAGTGAGGCTTTACTGCCCAGAAGGAAGAAAGGCTGCTGCTTTCCTCCCTTTCAGTTTTCATCCAAAACGACGCGATGCGATGTTCGGGGACAGGATCTGCTCTGGAACCCAGCAGATGGTCCCTGGGTCTCCCTTCTCTCACCTGTTAAATGGGAAGCCCAAAGGCTCGGCTCATAGACTTGAGCTCCCGGAAGGGCCTTGAGCCTTGCATGCTGGGTCCCCGCCTGGGGACCCAATTTGGGGGCACAGTACACTAGCAATATTTATTGAGAGAAAGAACGCGAGTAAGTAGCAGAGGCTCCATAGATGGAAGCTGCTCTTTCCAGACTCTAGGTCCGACAGGGCTCAAGCTCACAGGCCTTGGGGAGCTGGATCTCGGGAACACTCAGAGAATGTGGTGTTCTCAGCAGTTCGCGCTTCCCGCCCTCTGAGCCGGGATTGGTAAAGACAACGCGGTGCGCAGCGCACGCTGGAGGGCAGCAGAGAGTCACCGCTCTGGCCCGAGGTCCGGGAGTTTGGGGTTCAGAGGATCCCGGGCTCCGCCCTGCCACGCCTCCTCCACTCCCCTTCCTTTCCCCTTCCAGTGGCTTTCCTTTGCTGCCCAGTGCCCCTACGCAAGAAGAACGCCTTCCACAAACTAATTAGCACTCGTTCGCTGCCCGCCCTTGGCATCTGCTTAGCTTTTCCCCGCAGCGGAAGGCGGGCACTAGCCCCTCTTCTTGGAAGAGGGAGCTGCAAGGCCGCGACTCGACCAAGGTCACGCAGCACAGTAGAGCCTCGAACTCAGTTTCCAGTTTGGCAGACACTAAAGCCAAAGTCTACACTCCTCCCCAAATCTCGAGCGCACTCAGGTTTCCAAAACTGGAGAACTTGGATACCAACTTGTCAGTTTTCAACAGGGATCAGACCTGCGGCGAATTCTAGCTCCTGCTCAGGGCTGATAGTTATGGGAAGTACCCCCGGGCCACGGGGCTTCCCTGATCCCCTAAACACCAGATCTCCGCAGGCCAGCGACGCGGAGAGCGGCGATGGCCAAGTTCAGCATTTCTCGGCCCGGAGAGTAGAGCCCCGATTCTCCACGGAGCGTTGCTGCGGTCCCCTCCCAACGGTTCTGCCCGCGCTCCGTCGGCGGGGCTGGGTAAAGCCGCCGAGAGTGTGACCTCCCGAGGGCGGGCAGAGTAGTGTGGCTGAGCGCCAGGATCCGTCCGGGGCTGCACCGTGCGGGGCGTGGCCGCCTCCCTCCGCCCCTTCCAGGCCTGGCGCGGAGCGGGGCGGGGGTGGGGGGTGGGAGACGGGGGGCTGCTCAAGGGACGCCTCCCGGGGTGGTCGCCCCGCCTAGGCC